ATAACTAAAGTAAATATGACTATTTATTTTTATGTTACTTTCACTTTCTGTGACAAAACACATAACATTGTTATGTTCTTATGTTTTATTATATTAAAGAAACTTTATAACAGTTAAGTTATTTAACTTCCTTTTAAAACATTTTCTAAAACAAATAAAACTCAGTTTTTTATTGTTTCGGAAGCAAACGGTAATCTTATTTTAAATTCGTAAATATAATTTAAGCGTATGAAATTACAAGTTTTTTTTTTTTTGCTATCTGAACATCTAATATATATAATTCTCTTACGTGGCTAACAAATTTTGGCTATATTTCTTTTCCGCCGTAACAACGTTTGCTTTGTTTTGTTTACGTTAATATTTCTCTTACATGGCGAATCCACCAACGATTGCCACTAAGAATGTCACATGCCAAATCTAGCTGAGGTGGCTCAACATATAGCGCTTTTAAAAACGGAAACTGAAATAACCAAAGAGCATCAGCTGCGGCAATCTCATACTATTAAGCTAGGCAGAAGTGAGTAGTCTTTGTCGATAGATCCCTATTTTAGTATTTTGTCGAAAGCGCTTTTTTTCACGAATTTATATATTACGAATTTATTTGACGGTTTTTGATTTATATTACGAATTATACTATTGCACCTTTCTAATAGGTTTAACGAATAATAGGTTATTTTAATAACTTAGTATTAACTAAATAGATGTAATTTTTTTTTAAAAAAAAGTTTTTATATGGATTTGAACAGTTTGTTTTGAATTCTCAGAATTTTGTGCATTTGCAATGTTCCTAAGTTAGAAGTGAGCGAAGCAAACCATATAAGATTGCGTAGCAATTTTCGGGGGTTGGTGAGCGTTAGCGAGTAGGGGGCGCAGGTCACTAGTTTCCAGGAATTATGCATTATGTAATAAAAAATAAATTTGCTGATGCAAACATTTTACGAAAATACCAGAAAGTTATTTCTATTCAAATAATTTCAAAATGATATAGAACAATTAAAGATGACAGCTAATTTTAAACATCATCTGAATATGTCTAATATCTTTCGTGATACTTAAGGTTGTCAAACTTAGATAGCGTACTACATACGTATATAGTACATAAGTACAACAGATCTATGTATATTCATTGGATGTATATGTACAGTGCACAAAATAAAAAATGGACCACTCTGGATAACATTTTATCTAATGATCGGATCTTCACGCTATAGGATTAAATCTGAATGATTCAAGAGTGTATGTTTAAATATGTTGTTGCCTTCAAATATGTTCAAATTAATTAGTGTAGATGATATTATAAGTCATAAAATCTGGCAAAAAAACGTACGTTCTCTGAAGTATACCTTTTTCTTTGACGGATTCAGGTTTTCACCCCCAAAGCATAGGGGATAGCCGCATTCTAGAAAATATGGTCCCAATAGTTTGGTCAAGATAGCAGTCAAATTTTGGAACTCTTAACGTTAAGTTTACATTTTGCGTATTCCACCTTATCTCGAGAACTTTTTAAGCGAATTGAAAAATTTTTGTGCTCAAATATATAATTCGTTTATTAAAAGATAATTTTATAACTCTTATAAGCATTAATTATAATTTTATAACTTTTATAAAATATAACTTTTTATAAGCATTTATAATTTTTTGTGTTTAGCATCACTTGGAATTTTTAGCATTTTGTTTTTTGCAAAAAATGTATTTAGTATCACTTGGCATGATCGTATTACTAGCGGCCAAACCATAATAGTCAAAACTTGTAACTATCAAGTAATTTTCTCGAGTACATGTCCCTTAAAGTATCGGAATTTAAACTGCTTAGTATCGGTTCTGCTTTTAATCATCACCTAATATATCATTATACTATTTTATACCCAAATTAGAATTTTTGGTAGTTATTTATTTTTATTATGATTAATTTTTGCTCTCGAATATATAAATATTTTTTTTCTATTCCATTACTGTTGGTTCTGAATAAGTATTTTTTTTTTTTTGGAAACACGTTTAAAAGAATTAATATGGTTAAAATAAAAGCGCGTGGCATCAGACAAAGTATTAATTTGGCGAAGTATACAACACGTGCTACCACGTAATGTTCATTGAATGTATCTGACATAGCGAGTATAAAATAATTAAATATTTTAATACGTGCAACAAACTATTTTTTAATCAAGCAGAGCTGTAAGCTAGCAATTATAACTAATGTATCTTTAAAATATGTGACAAATTGAATCGCTTGTAATGAAATTTAAAACAATGGCTAGTGCTTAACCAATCAGAAAATTCCACTTCGTTTTTTGCTCATCCTGCTAGAACGATTTGTCGTAGAATGTTCTAATGTCGACAGTGACCTTCCTCATGCTTCAAACTATCTGTATGCTAAGTTTCATAGCTTTCGGTTAACATTCTTTAAAAGACATACACACAGACATTCATTTATATATACAGGTGGTTATCAAAATAATGGAAACACCCTAGATTTTGAAGGCTTGGGAATTTGTTGTTCTGCCGTAAATGTTCTCTTCATGAAGGAATCTCTTAACTGTAATTGTTGACACTGGAGAATCCAGATGCTGATTGAGCTCTGCGGTCACTTTGGCTGCAGTTGTTTTCTTTTTAGACATTACAATCCGCTTTAATACCCGTCGGTCTCTTTCACTCAGCTTCTCCTTCCGTCCACTATTTTGCTTTGCTGAGCTTGTCTTTCAGCGCTGTGTGTAAGCTGTCATGACTTTTGACAGCGTACCTCTAGAAACGCCTAAAAGCTGGGATGTTTCGGTCACTGTTGCTCCAACTAGTCGGGCTCCTACAATTTGGTCTCTCTGAAAATCTGTGAGGTCTGACATTTTACGCTTCTGACAAAAAATCAAAACGTAGCCAACTCTGCTAAAGCTCTCTCATACCACCTAATATATGTACTTTTTTATATTAAAAAAACTGGTAGCTAAGATTATATTTCACTGCTTATGAAGCGAATTCTTAAATGTCCCTTTTATTCACAACTGTTTCCATTATTTTGATAATCACCTGTATATATATAACGTAACGAATCAAATGGGGTTGGGAAAAAATCTCTAGAAATGAAAAGCTAATTTTGTGATCTTACATTTCACGGTGTCTAAAGAAGGAAAGTCAATTGGATTGGAAAATTTGTATGCAAAATGTATATACCGGGTGTGCCTTAAAGACAGCTAATAATATATGCTTTTGTATTATTAATTAAAAATGCAATCAAAACTTTAGATTTCACTATCAAAATCTTAAAAGTTACAGTTCAGGGACGTACGTATGTAATAAGCATCAAAACAGGGTCAATTGGAGGATGGAACATCAAGGTGTTGTTAGTAATCATCTTTCAACTCTTGGCGCCATAAAACCTATCTTCATGCTTATTACCTACGCCTTCTTTTTCTGTGATTTGTAAAATTTTATAAGTGTTTTTGTGATTTCCTTAACGTTTATATATTAATTTGAAACCATAATTGTCTTGTTTCCATGTTTGATAAATAATCTAAAATTATATATTAAGAATGATCTAAAGAAAACGTACTGTATAAACTATTTTCTCGATTTTTTTTCTTGTCTTCCTTAAAATTTTAAAACACTCTTCATTTTCCTTGCTGCAAAATTATCCTCAATTGGATCAATATTCACGAATATTGGTTCAGTAAGGTTAGATGGGGTCTTTTTTTCTGATATTGACCCTATATTAAATTGTCCGATTCACCCTGCATTTTAAAGCCACTTTATCATCAATATCGGCCCTATATAGACTTGTCAGATTTAGCAGATATTTTATATTCATATTTCAGCCAATATACCCCATAAAGGCCGATATTGGCCCAATATGTACGACTTAAAATAAAAAAAAATGACATCCCAATATTAGTCCCCACATTGTGCCAAGTTTGAGCCCAACTGGGAAGAAGATAAAATTGTTGCTAGGGATGCGATATACAAACTTACTTTTGCGTAAATAAACACTCATTTAGTTAAAAAATAAATATAAGAAAAAAAGGCGAATAATTTTAATAAGCAGTAAAATATACAAATGTAAGTTTTGTTCTTCGAATACGTTAATTTTAATACAGCTTTGCTCCACGATATTTTATAACTATCACATTTTATTACTATAAATTACACAGTTTTTTCTTAAATGTATATAATTTTTTTTTAAATTAAACTTCTGATGGAAATAAAATCTTCTCAATGGCTAAAAAGATTCCCATTTTCTTCTTCTCGAACTGATATAAAAGAAAGAGAATCAGACCCTAACGCTACTTACCACAGGATTAAGGTAGATTGTTTTAAATTCTTAATATATTCTCTTTCTCATTACTGAAAAGAAAAAAGACGAGTCGTTTCTCAAGGATTAGGAGTTTCTTTCAAATAAAATGCATAAAAAGGATTTAGTGTTTTTTGAAGAGCTGTTTTCCTTCTTTAATTCGAAATGATACTTTTAAAATTCAACTTTAATTGAATGATGTTTATTAAAATTCGATTACAATATCTTTCACATAGTAAGTGCAAACGATACACAATGATTTCGTTCATTATTTTCTATGTATTTGATTAGAATTTTCCACCAAATGATGCAAAAATGCATCTTTTTTTGTGATGTAGACAAACATTTCAGAATAAAATATTAAGGACATCTTATCAGATGTTTTAAAACAAAGTATTCTCAATGCCTGATAAGGGATGTTTGTCCTTCCGAAACACGTAGCTGCATTTTCAAGCTTTTATGTCTCATAGTTTTCTTAAAACAAAATAAAATATAACGTTATGTTGAACTCCTAAAACAACGGCGACGTTGCTTACGATTTTTTGTATCGGGAAATATGAGACAGTTATTAGTTTTTAGGAGTAGTATCTTTTCTCTCTTTATACCAACGCGGAATTCTATAGATTTTTACTAATAACTTAAGAACGTGTTAACCACAAATATTTTGTATTGTGGTTTATAAAAAATCACTACATTCCGGTGATATTTAATTCGGACGCATAATTTACATACACACACACATATATATATATATATATATATTGGCAAATAATTCTCCTGGTTNCATAATTTCACGAAATCTGTCTCTTGGCATCGTATTACGGAAAAACGGAGGTCCCCAGTCCATTGACCACAGACTATCCAGCTCAAGTCCTTTTGCGCAATATATGCCACGTGCATATAAAATTGCTATAAAAGCATCAACCTCTTCTAATGTTACGACCCATTTATTTTCAGGAATATGACGATGAGCTTCATCTTCAGTACATTTCTTTATATGTTTTAATATCCATTCATCGATGAAGAGTCTCCAGGCACTTGCCAGACTGCCGTCCATAATATTGCGTTTAGCATGGGGTGTTGGGCCTCCAACTTCCTTCAAAATATTATGCTTTGATTTTCTTCCTATGTTCTTTGTTCCTAATTGCGATACATTCCAAACTGTCCCATCATTTCCAACTTCATTATTTCCAACTTCGAAAGTTACTGCTAATTTCTTTTTCTGATTTCTTTGTGTACATGTTCTTTTTCTTATAATTTTCGATGTTTTATTTTTATCTGACAAATTAACATCATTACCATGATGAGAAGGGCCAGGAATTGTTAACGGACTCACAGAGTCATCTTCACTTTCACTTTCTTCAGCCGAATTCAAAACGTCTTCATTAGTAGGCAGGTATTCATCTCCACTACTCAAAATTGAAACATTCTCATCATTGTCATCTTCTGAATCATTTTCAGGTAATTGTTGAAAATATTCCAAAGCTTCCTGAACGGTAAGGTTACGACGCCGTGACATACTTATAATAGAAACAAAAAGAAAACCTTTCAATAGTCAACAAAATATTTCACTCTGAGCTCGAATGGTCTTCACATGCAAACGTACATACTCATTATGACCTTGACTGAAATCCTTCACTTATCCCCCCACCACCGGTTCAGGCCATACCATTTGCAGATTTCAAGGGTTGAGGCAGACATGCTTTATCGCTTTGACGTTGTTCCAACGGAAAAAGGATTTTTTTTCATAATTCTGGTATCAAATTTATTTACGGGTCATTTTGACCCACCCCGCTGTTCTAGGTATAAGTGTTAATAATACCCCATTAAATTATCTTATTCGTTTTGAAATTTGGCAAGTAGTTTTTTACATAAAATTATTAAAAGTCATAAAAGGAATATTTTTTTCAATTGAAACTTTTTGTGTAGTGACGAATTAAACATTCATTTGGGTCAAATTGACCCGCTCCGCGGTTCTAGTGTTAAAAACGAAGACTGACAGCCTTTCGCCAGAGGTGACAAGTATTGTATGTAAATCAAAAGTAGGCCAAAGTACTGGGCGTACTTCTGCAATTTTTAATGTTCTACTTTTTTAAAAGCTATACTTTTGGAGTTCATTTTAATCACTCAATCCTGCTGCAACATTTTCAAGACAAGTAGTTTCTACCCATATTCGAATAACGTCACCTAATAACAGGCAGCATACAAAATTCTAAGGCAGGAGATTGACAAAAGATAACAAGAAAAACGCAACTAATTTTTTTCTCGTTATCAAAAACCTTAATTTGGAAACGTTACCCAATAATTTCAATGTTGAAATAGAAGGTCCCTGAAGCTAATGCTACGTGCTTTATTAATTTTTAAATCTGTTATGTTCACTACAAAAAATATGACTCACGTTTATTTGACCGTAACTGAAAAAGCAAATTTACCTTTTTATTCGATAGTGTTTGAATGACAGTTTGGCACGAGAATTTTTTTAACATTCCTTAACGGCCCTCTCAGCTCTCTGGAGATAGAGTGGGGGGGGAGCGAATGACCATGGCGTGTTTATCGTTAATTGATGTGTATGCGAAGAGACTTCACAGAGAACCCTCCTTCCTGGCAATCAGTATGCCTCAGGAAAAATTCCATTCTCTGAAGAATTTAAATAATGTAAGGGGGAAGCTACTTCTGGAAGAGCATTCAAGATAATTAATCGTCAAAGGATTGCTGGGAGATTAGATTCTGTGGTGACGCTGTTCCAAGTCTTATAATCAAACGGGAATTACTGCTAAGACTTACATTTAAGCTAATCGCTAAAACAAATTCCTGAAAAGGCATTTTATGACGAAAGGTATTTATCGTTAGTCTCTGGTTCTATAAGGTTCAGTTTCACACAAATATTAAAATTAATCTCTGGAAAATATATTTTAAAACAGGGTAAGTTAAGTTGAGAGTGAAATCAAATGATATAAATGGTTTACTGCTCCAAACACATGCCTTCACGCAAGGTGATGAAATCAAACAGTGGTCTAAACCAAGAAGCAATGAACAGAATGTATAACTCATTGCCACCAAAGCCGGTATCAGCTTTACTGCGCCAAACTTGAAAGGCATAACTCAAGAAAGTCGATTGGAGTTATAAATGATTGATTCAAACCAAAATAGGAAAAAGAGGTATGTCACTAAGAGTGCGTTAAGAGATTAGATGATGATGATGAAGAATATTTATTATAAAAGGAAAAAAATTACCAAATCTTATTCAACAGCATTGTCTTGTTTAGTACCGTATAGCCATTTGGTAAGTATTATTGTCAGCGCACAATAACGCGTGTTGCCAATATATTACGTGCTACCATTATATTATATTATATAACGCGTGTTACCACCGTTATTTGAAAATGATATAAATTTTTTTACTCATGACTAAATGAAGCGCTCTATTTGAAATCACAGTTTAAATGCTTTGATATAAATGTCTGTATTTTAAAAGATTTACTCTGACGATTTATTTTGAATTTTCTTTTCATAAACACACTTCCTTTTCTCCTTACGTCTCATTTCCGTAGAGAAAATGGCTTCCGCAATGGCGTGTGTTTATAGTTAATTGATGAGTTATAAGACTGTTCGAACAGACTTTTCCATCTTTGCAACCACATTCTCAGAAGAGTACTGGCAATTTCCTGGTAAGGAGTTCCACATAATGAATCGTCTGAGGATTAACACAGGATTTATGTCTGTGGTGAAGCTCCAAACTTTCTAGCCAAATAAGGATTTGTGAGTGCATTAATTCTCGGTAAATTTCCCTCTAAATAATTATATGTAAAAAATAGGATTCAGTAGCTGATGCAAAAATTCATGAATAGATTTATTTCTCTTATTTTATTGAGCTATTTCAAAATGCTCTTTTAAGAAAATATAATTTAAAATGCGTGTTTAAAAACATAAACGAAATTTAAATGAATTGAAATTAATTAAATTGCGTGAAGGCATGAGGGGATTGTTAAAAAAAAGCATAAAATGAAATTGAAAATAACTCAAAATGTGCCTTTTCAATTTTAAACAATGAGCCCATATTTTTAACTTCTACGCTCCTTTTGAAATAGGTGCTCAACAAATCCAGGTGGGAGGGAATTCGATTAGAATTTTTAAACTTAGCAAATAATCATTATTCACTAGTTACTTTATAAAAAGGCAATAGTTTTATGCGCAAAACCAAATAGTACTTACATTCTTAACAGCTTTAGTTACATTTTCGTAATTACAAATTTTAAGTTAGATTCATTTCTTTTTTAAAACACACTAAATGAAACTATATTCGCCCAAAAAAAGAAAAGAACATGCATGAGATTTATTCAAAATAAAAACATTTATTCCCTTTTAAAAAGTGTTCAGAAATGGATATTTTTACTAGTTATGTGCCAAAATAAATTACAAAAAAGGCTTGACGGTGTCTTTTTTCAGTCATAAAAGTATATATGTTACCGGCAAAGTATGAAGCGCCGGCATTGTATACAATGCCGGATGTTCTTAGGCAAAGTATGAAATGTGAGAATTGTTACATACTTTCCCTAGGCATTGCATATAATGCCTAGGCATTCCATAGAATGACAAATGCTATTTAGGCAAAGAATGAAATAAACGTCCTGATGAGGTTATTATGTTGTTGACTTTCACCGGTGAATGCTGACAATCAGATAGTCGCTTTGGTGAATGTCCGAAATATTTATTACATCCGATTTGATATTACCTAATTTATTCGTGGATATTGCACGAATAAATTAAATAGCATTGCCTAATAGCTTTGCCTAAATAGCATTTGGCTTTCTATAGAATGCCTAGGCAATGTGTGAAATATAAACCATTTCATACTTTGCCGGATAGTTTTAGGCATTCTAGACATTGCCGGATTTCATACTTTGCCGGTAACATATGCATATATGTCATAATATTTTTTAACAACATGTCAAAAAATATGTCAGTCTGAATAACTTTCGTTCTAATGATCAGTTTATCATTAACACTGATTATAAATTAAGTTTCAAAATCAATCATAAAAATATACTTTTTCTGAATAAAAATATACCAAAATCTGAAGGTATGGTCCCGTTAATATAGTCAGAAGAGACATCGAAAGTTTAGGTCTATTAATGTTAATTTGCGTTTTTCAGCTTACCTCGGGAATTTTTTAAGTGAATAAATTTTTTTGTACGCAATTATAAATTGAGCTTATACGAAGATAAGTCTATGTAAAAAATAAGTTTTAATATTTCTTTAAATATTTTTTACTATTTTATTTAATAACGGACGAAAAAAAATGTAATTGTAAGATGTAAAAATATTTATATTTTTAACAGCCAATTTTGAAAAGAATCAGTCAAATAGCTCTTCAAGAAGACAATTGTAAAAATATGGCTTTTTGGAAACCTTATATACTAAAAACTATTCACTCAATTTCGTTCAATTCTTATATTTTATCATTTAAAATTAAATACTGAGTTTACAGCGTTGTAAAATGTTGTAAAGTTTACAACGTTATATATTTTTTCCACGCTTGATATAAATACGCTAAAAATTATTTTTTACATGTAATTATCTTTGGATAAAGCTGACCAGGTGGCCGAGTGACTAGCGTGCCTGACTGCGGAGCCGATGGTTGTGGATTCGAATCCCGCTCAGGGCATGGATGCTTCTTTCTCTCTCTGTGTGTTCTATGTCCTTTCTTCTGTGCGAGTGTGTGAATGTAACATGCCCTATAAACGGGTTTGTGGTTATATGACGTGGGCAACGCTGCTCCACCGCCGTGGCTTAGCCATTAGGTGCTCACTGGTTTACGATAAGAGAGTAGCAATTCTGGCATTTCTGAGGCCAATGGGAAAGCCAATGGGAAATAGACCCAAGTGCCCGCCATTAACCGAAAACAAAAAAATTTTGTATAAATAGATTTTGTAATTGTGTGCAAAAATTTTCGACTCGCTTTAAAATTTTCCCAGACATGGCTAAATGCGCATAAAAGGAAGTTAAGATTAATGAAAAAAGAGGCTTTATTTTGTGCACTGTATACCACAGACCCAAATTTCAATACCCTATCATATATTTTTTTTTAATTTTCGAAATTTCACTATTACATAGCATCGATTACTTTAGAAGACAGAGAACCAAATTCTTAATTTTATATTCCGTTATGATCCCCAAAACTTTTGCATATCATTACTTTCACAACTTTGCCTATGCATAATGTTTGTATTCACAGTATTAAAGTGTTTAGAAGAAATAAAACCAAGACATTGAAATTTTAGTGACTCCATTCAATTTGCATAGTTTTCAAATTCTGATGGTTATGTTTATGTTTTAATTCACCGAGTCTTAGATATGATAATAAAATATTCCAGAAATTATTAATTTAGCAGATGTTTGTAACGAAAAGTTTCTACTTAATTTAATTAATATATCTCCCTAATATGATATGCAGTCATTGAACTTGCTTTATCATGAATGGATGTATGCAGAGTGGTATGCATCCCCCATAAGAATTGT